TCTTTGCATTTTCTGAAATTAATCTCCAGCGCTGGCTGGAAAGTTCGTGACCGGCATGCGTGTAAACATGTCTAAAACGAAAATCATAATGCTTTCTTGTCCTCTTGTTTGTTGCTCCCTTCAGATAAACGGAGAAGCAGTGGAGTCGGTGGAGAAGTACTAGTACTTGGGGAGGGGTATTTGAGGACGTGATCGGCCGGCGGATTGGAGTAGCCAATGGGCTTCTGAGTGAACTAGCCCGATCCTTGAGTCTGAAAATTAAGCTTTGTGTTTAAGTCGATATTCATCCCCATGCTTACCTACGGTCATGAGTCGCAAGCCAGTACTAAAAACTTCGATTATGCGTGCAAGTGGCTGAAATGGACTTTCTGAACGAATCGCTGGCCCGTATCTCAACATGGCCCAGAGAACAGATATCCGATAGAACCTTCGTGTAGAGCCGCTGCTTCTTCACATGTGGAAGTGAGAGCTACGATGCTTTGGGCATGTGTTGCGAAATACTCGAGAAAGGAAGACGAAGCAACTACTCCTGCCAAGCCAACCGCCAGAAGATCCAAGGGACGGCCAAGATTAACCTGATAGAAACATATGGAAAGAGTGTGTTCTAGACTTCATTTGTTTTGTGCCGAAGTTCAAACTGGCGCAGGATCGGGATCGTTGGGAACACCGTCTGTCACGTCTACTTCGGCGATCCGAAAGGAGAAGTGGCTATTTGCCCAACCGATCTCTCAAAGACTTCAGGGACGGCGAAGAATTATCTGGAGTAAGTGTCTAGATAAACTTTTCTCAGTTTCAGGTTATCTTGTTCCGAAGCTGAAACGGTGGCAGAAGATCGAAAATATTGAAGACACTGCGTGACACGTCTATCTCCATGACCGGAAAGGACAGGCGGTCATGGAAACTTACTGACTGAATTTGCGGCGCAACTGTAGATATTCGTGCAAATGTATGTTACTAATGATTCAGGAGCTGGTACTCAGATAGAGATTCCCATCAACATCAAAATGTAGTCAAAAACACACATCAATGTTCTTTCAGGAATATATGTCCATAGTAACAGCTTATCCACTAAAAGGGCCCCAGCAAATTTTATCATGCATTTGTTTTATCAGGTAATGGCAATGCTTAAAATCTATGCACTGACAGAATTCGAGCGCAAATCTAAAAATCAGAGATGATGTGTGTGTTGGCAATATAACACTGCTATGTTTCTAGTGAAACGATTGCGTTCTTTATTGTCTTTCTCTGTTTTGTTTGTTTTATTCGTCCTTCTTTCAGATATAAACATTCCTCCTTTCTTTTCTGTCTTAAAAGTCTAGATTCCATATCAGCGAGACAGTGCATCATTGATACCAGTTGAAAATGAAATTTTTTAGCTGCGCTGAATAATCTGCGAGGCTTTATGTATCCATCTGACCGGTCCGAAGGTACTTATATTACTCGGAATTACAGTACAATTAGAATCTTGAATTGCGCGAAACGACTTCGCCGCAACGATTAATGCCGAACAAGATAAATTTTATTAAGCATGCAAGTCAAATCTGTATATAAAAAGTTCGGTACCAGCTGGGCACTGCATGTGATAGTGCATAATCCTGTGATACGGATGCTTATCGAGGCAGAGATGGCAGTCGTCAAAAATTAGCAAGTTCGTGCGCTCGATGCCAAGAAAACGATTGTCCAGAAGGAAGCAGAATACTCCGCCAGTCATAACGAGTACCTACAAGACTGAAGAATACTGCAATGCGGTTTCTACCTGGAACGCCAGACCTGGTTACGCGAAAACGTTTCCCGCCATTTATCACTGTTCCACGAATTGTACTTTTCGTCGGTGTACTCGCCGACCTCCAGATTTGTATGTATGCGCAGGCGCTCCGCTTTCTGAGAAACCGACGGCGCTGAAAAACATAATAAAAGAAGGTAAAAGCAATCCCCAGTTATTACCTTTATCCACCAACCACACAACTCTTTTGCCGCCCATACGAAATGGAATTCGGACAGCAGCGGCCATTTCCCTTATAGCCATAATAGCAACAAAAGATTTACTGTTGTTATTATCAGAAGGAATGAGTATGTTTCGTTCTCTGGCAGCGTCGATTAGCTCTAGCTAAAAACGACACACAATACGCATTATGACAGCACTACAATTGAAACAAACTCAGATATACCTGATAATGGCACGGCGTTAACATAGAGGATTCTACCTCCATCTGGCGAAACGACATTTCCTTTCAAATAACGCAAAGCAGTGACGATATCATAAAAAGAAAACCTCTATGCGGAAGCATCAGCTTTCCCACAAGCCAAGGGAAACCAAGCAATGCTACAGTATAATCGAAACGCAGGTTGATGAGATAAATATTGTCTTCATATTTTGTATTCCTTTCCCGCAAAGGAGGGTAACGAGAAACTCAATGCTGGTACTGCCCAATCAGAAACGGCGCTAGGCAAATCGTTCAATAAACTTAAGTCGTCATTGTCGCAGCGTTTCAATACCGAGGTTGTGCTTTCCGTCCCGTCGGCCATTCCAATTTCAAGTGTGCTATCTTTTGCGGTAAGTAGTCTATTTTCGTGTGCATTTGCAGTTGTTTGAATATGCTTCTCACGTTTTCAACTGTGTATTCTTTTAATTTTTTGGCTTCCAACTGTTTCGCGATTGTGTTTCCTTTGTTCGTCCGGCCGCAGTCTTGTGTGCTTCTGTTTCGATTCCGGAGATTCCGGGTTCGATAACGCCAAAATCCATCGTTGTCTGTGGTTGTGGTTTCGCCTTGTATTTCTTTCATTCTTCTTTACGTTCTTACTGTAAACTTGCCACCAAATATGTCGTCATATGACGGTCTTATTCTTGATTCTTGCGGTCACCGTCTTATTACGTATGTTCTGTTCTTCACCGCAAGAGGTTGCTTGTTGTCCGTACGTTGTAGCTTTTGGCGTGTACGTTCTGTCTCATTATTGTTCACTTTCGACCTTTAAAGAGAGTACTGCTGCGTACGATATGTTACTATTGCTCTCCTTCGTCTTTTTCCATAAGTTTTTCTTCGAGTTCCCTCATTAGTTATTTGCGTAAGTTATTTTCATGTGCTACGTACGTTCTTCACACGTTTTATATTCTCTCCGTGTTTCCTTTCCATTATTGTTTACTGCAGCTGCTGACACGTCATGCCTTATCCGATCATTCCGTTCTACAGAGTAAGCGGTTGCTTGCCCCACCTGTGACGCATTCCATTCTGCGTGTTCTCTCTTGTATGTATTTTGCGTCAGAGTTGATATCCGTCAGTACTGTTTTTCTACGTTGTGTGACCTTACCTTGCTCTTTAATCTCCTAGTTTTTTCCACAAGATTCCTTTCATTGACTCTCCGTAAATTGCTTTCCTTTCCAACATACTATATTCTTTACTTTGTCCTGATCTTTTTTGTTCTCTCACCGTTTGTTTATTTTATCCGCATTTGCTGGTTTTGTACGGCCGCTG